ACAATCGTGCCGGCAAGGCCAGTCAAAATATAACCTAGGTCAAGTGTTTTGCACTCTCTGACGCTCGTTCACTCCTTGCACAACATTTTTATATTCCTAATTAAGTTATTTATCACCGTGGAGCCGGAAATTTTTTCTACAATTAAATTTAATCGAAGTTTATACTACTTCTCCAGTTAACGCTTGATATGAGCGTATAATTGAATTATTCCGAATCAGATTTAAATTTAATAAATAATTGGATGAGCTGCCAACATCCAGGTCTATACAAGATGAAGGATTTATTCAGAAGTACCATGACTTTAATTCCACTTGTATATAAAAAAATTGCGCTTTGTATAAAATTGTATGTATGTAAAATTTTATAGATGTAAAAGTATAGTCATGTAAAAAAAGTAGGTAAATACATTATTTTAATATATATTGTATATATATGTAAAAGTACTGCTCTTTGTATAAAAATTAACATTTAAGATCACCTTCAATAAGACCACAGCGAAGTTTATGAAAAATAAATTATAAATATGAAAACGTGGTAGTTTGTGTCTTCGATAGGCTGCACTCAAAAAAATCAACGGGTTAAATTGTCTGAATACTTCATACTATGCTTCCGAGTAAAAATCTCGCAATTCATCTTTCGAACTTCCCTTCAATTAAAGACCCGTATCTTGATATTCGCCAAAATATTTCAAACAAAACGTGTAATAAACCAACTATCGTTTCTTTTATTAAGATAATTACTTCCAAATATGTTATCGCGGGATCAGCTTTTCACTTGTTTTAGTACTAATTCTTCAAGGCTGAGAACGTGTCTACGGCGCGTCTGTATGTGTCCATATACGGCTCGACCTCTACCCATAAGTGGGTCTAGGAAGTGGGTCAAGGCCACGCAGCGGCTGTCCCTGTCACTACCCCAACAGGGGCCTTAATGATCGCCACCCATGCGGGCAAAGTGAACCTTCAGAGCGAAGCAAATTACGTTGAAACAACGTTGATTTGAAGTTGATTTCGTTGAAACAAAATTGATTGCCAGTTGATTTCGTTGAAACAATGTTGATTGCAAATTTATTTCGTTGAAACAACGTTGATTACAAGTTGATTTCGTTGAAACAATGTTGATTTGAAGTTGATTTCGCTGTAACAATGTTGATTAGAGGTTGATTTCGTTGTAACAATGTTGATTAGATGTTTTTTTCGTTGAAACAATGTTGATTATAAGTTGATTTCGCTGAAACAATATTGATTAGAAGTTGATTTCGTTGAAACAATGTTGATTACAAGTTGATTTCGTTGAAACAATATTGATTAGAAATTGATTTCGTTGAAACAATGTTGATTGCAAATTTATTTCCTTCAAACAACATTGATTTGATTGCAAATTGATTTCGTTTAACCGAAGTTTATTCAACGATGTTTCAACGTAAGATTCCTGGTGGGAAAGTTGTTTTACATCGCTAAATGGTTTCATGTTGCTGAAACGTGTTGTAAATTTGAAGAAATGTAGTTTATTCATAGAAAGAATGTGGACGTAGCTGTATACTCTTTCTTATTTAAATAGTTCCCTGTTTTCATAACGTGTGGCAGATACGCGAAACTCGCTCATTTGTACTGTAAAAAGCATTTACCCAGCGATGTGCTCTTCCATTTTTAAATAATTTCATGTTTAAAAAACCGTTGGGTAGCCATGAGAAACTATCAATCAAATGTACACAGCATATACGTAGTGAAGTACTCTTCCATTTTTAAATAGTTTCATGTTTTTATAACATAAGTCAGCCATTAGAAAGTATTGCTCATTCACACGAAGCATGCGCTCACAGCGATGAACTCTTCCATTCTCGGTAGTATCACGTGGATAAAACGTGCCTCCTAAAATATAGAACAATCGTGTTCTGTGCTCGGACATTCATGTTAATTTGCCATTCATGCAAGACTCCACATTGTTAAAATTAAACGATGCGAAAGATGAATGCATTCACTAACAGGTAACAACGCATAGGACCAACATTATAAAATAACAAGCAGAAAGAAAGATTTTTGTCTTTGCTTAACTGTTCTTTGTTGATTTACGATGAAATAAGTTATTATTTGTCGAAAAGAAGGTATGATTCAAGTATAAATAATGAAAATCTCTTAATTAAATCAAATTAAAAATTTTTGGCGCATTTTTTTCTATTATGTCAACCCCTGCTTGCTAGCATTCTGTTGATGACGCCAATAGCCCACACTGTAAGAATATAAACAGTTAAATATTCAATAACTGTAGAATTAACAGTTATGGGCTGTTTAGTTAGTAATCTACGCAGTCACATAATAATGAAACTTGATCACTGAATTAAAGGATTTTTAATTAGCTTCAATTCATTATTTAGCGTGCATGATTGCACCAATAATTGTAACTTATTATCAGCAATGTTGGCTCATAAAATTCGTTAATTTTTCACTGGCTCTTTATTGGCCTGCGATATGTCTTATAAATTCAAACGCGAGATCAACAGACGAACATCAATTATATTCATGCTAATCAATTAACGATTGAGTATCCAAAACGAATCGATATGGTGCCAAAATATACAAATTATTCATGAATCAATGCATAAAAATCTTCAAATGAGTTCTTAACATGAATTAATAACAGCTGTCAACATTCAGTACGATTTATCAGGTTAAATCAAATACCTTAGTTAATAGAGTCACAAAAGCCAAAGCAGAAGTACAGCTTGGCCTTCACCCTCGTCTGTTCTGACGACTGCCCGACGACTTCGTCTGGCGCCCGGCATCCTCTGCCCTACTTTCCCTTTCGAAAATCTGTTTATTCTAATAACTTTTAACATTTAAAATTTAGTTTTTCTCTTCTACTGTCCTCGTTCAAAAATCTACACCCAAAGACCTACTTGTATTTCACTCCTTCTGGCCAACTTGTCTCGGCTAAAATGTACTTTTTCACGCCTATTTTCGTCATCTAAAAATCTACTCCCAATTTCCTGCATTCAAGTTTAAAAATCTATTCAAATTAGCCAACTTTATCCATCCAGGATACTCGTATTTTCGCTTGCTTTTCCCATCCAAAATTCAACCCCACTTGAATGAAGTGGAAAACTCGAAAAAAATATAATTCAGTGTTCCATGTCGGAAAGTGTCGGTCAACGATGCCCAGTAATCTCCAATACCTGAATAATTTATGAATAGTTATTATGAATTATGAATAGTTATATAAACTGGTACCGGTATTAAATTTAATTGTAGAAAAAGTTTCCCGTTCCAAGGTGATAAATAATTTAGCAATATAAAAATATTTTGCAAGGAGTAATCGAGCGTCAGCGAGTGCAAGACACTTAATTGACTTGAGAAAAAGCTTCATGGAGTCCAGACAGAAAATGTTATTTTCTGGAGTCACTATTTCAGAAAGTCGTTCTATTGTAGCACGACGCGTCTTGGTTGTGAAGTGATTTTAATTAAACATGGTGGCCTCCCATTTCCTAACTGTCACTAGTTTCAAGTTTTTTTTTTGATTCCACATAATATCAGTATTGCAATGCATGCTAATTTGTTTGCTTCCTCAATCCAAAGTAAATATGTTTCCAAAAATTTACAATGTTCTCAAATTATATTCGCCAATATAAACGTAGATGCACGAATTGTATTGTAAATAGTTTCAATAATAAATTTTATTATAAATTAAACCACTAACGAAAAAAACTTTAAAAAAATGCTTGTCTGCAATTAATAACTTATTCTAATCAATTTATTTATTCATCAGTCGCGGTTTGTCTTCACCATATCTTTGGTGAAGATATCTTCACCATATCTTTTTGGCCTTATAGTAACCTCGTTGAGCATTATTATTTTACGTTTATTATAGGCATTTTACAGCACAGATAACAATGATTCCATCAAATTGTAATTCAAATTTCGATAGTTTCATTTAAAATTTGATTACTGTAATATTATAATGTTACCGCTCCCTCATAAATTACTGTCTTCGAATATCCCCGGTTATTTCTGCCGATTATTATTCATCGTTCAAATTTTACGAAACTGATTTAAGTACAGTAGTGCTCATGCTAAACCATAATAAAAATATTTTCGCCTAAAATTACATAGCACGGGTGAAGTCGTCTCAACAAATTTTTTTAGCTCTTAAATAAATAATTTGAAGCCCAGAAAATTTCTTGAAAATTACCTAGATTTTCGTTTAATATTGTAAAAGAAAATATGTTTAATTTCTAGACTTTCTGTACTCTAAATTTCCGAGATACGAGATAGAATATTTCTTTTTGTTTTTCATATTCATGAATAACATGGGATTCAGATATTCCTTTGATAATTTTTTCCTAGCTGCTTTTAAGCCCACGTGTTTGTTATACGAGCAACGTCTTTCAAGTGAAATAATAATCGCTATGTATTTTCTTCAAGACGGCAACACGATATTCGGCTCCAAGTTTCCATTCACAATAAAATTTAACTGATTTAATTTTCGGAGCCGCATACCATTGAAATTCTACTATATTTATTTCGTTGTTCAGTCAACCACTGAATTTCAGAATTTGCATTGTTAGCGCATTTTCTCATTTATGGAAAAAATGCACTATTGTGCTCGCCATTCCCGTCTGTCTGTCTGTCTGTCCGTCCGTCCGTGTCCTCAAGTTTTCGTCGACGAGAAAATGCGCTCTCTGTCATTCACTGCAGTGAGTACTGAGTTATATGTTTTTAGTATAACCACGCTTTCTTCAATAATAATAATTACAGGTGTTATTGTCTCGAGCTTACTTCTCAAGCCTATGTAGCCTTTAATTTTAAATGCATTGTCTGATTGCATTCTTCGCTTCTATGTCCAACTTGAAATCGCATGGCGAAAGTTTTTGCACGTCTGGTGCTTCGTCAAGCTTATACAGGAGGGATCAAGCGTGCAAATGCACTGCAGCCTTGAACTCGATATAGGAACCCTTGACTACTTTTTATATATATATATACATATGCATTGCCAAGGAGTATATAAAGGCTATGCAGAACTCAGAAGGCATCAAAACGATCCAACTCTCCGACAACATGAAGACCGTAAGTTTCCAAGATAATAATAATCTATAAATATAATTTAATATTATATTATCAGCCTTCAGTCCTTAAATTTTTCCGTGACATGTTTTGTCTTTCATTGGAGACCCTATGAAAATCCAGTAAATTTACCTGCATTTTCAAATTTTTTAATGGATTTACTGTTCAAATTTGTGTCATAAAATTTGCTGACTTGTGAATGGCTAATTAATTGGTCCACGATATGTCGTGATAATTTAAACTCTAGATAGACATTAGAACATCGATTAAATTCTTACCAATTAATTGCTATTTATTATTTCGCTGGTGTTTTGCCAAAATTTTAAACTAATACCAGCAGACAATATTTAATTCAATTTATTACACGAATAATCAACCAAAATAACCATCCATATTTTGATGCAGACTCTGCTGAAATATAATGAATTTTCCATTAGTTCTTCGTTCATATTAATAGATTCATTTTGCCAAGTTATAAGCTCTGATTGGCCTACTATTTTGATTATTCACAGTCATTTTAATTAAAATTTTGACAGTGATCGACAGACAATACGAATATATGGACTTGAGCAATACACTATTAAACTCCCCAATTCCCAGCATTTTATTAAAAAGTGACAACAGCAACTGCTTAACCCGTCTAGCGCTAAGTCACGTGCAACGTTTAATAACAGCTTTACAAAATTATGCTGTTGTACCCGTACTCAGATGTCAAAATTTTTGACAGATCATATCTCTTTTTTAACGGGCTTTTCTTATAATGGTTTTAATATACACTTCTGTTTTTGTTTTATTGCGCGAAGGACATGATTTTGCTTTCTACGGTAATTTTCCTATGAGTTGAGAGAATATTGCAATGATTAAATCAAATATATTTTGCATCGTTCTATTGTATCGATTTCTGAATCACTCAATTTCATTGGAAACTATCTTTTTTCTTCAGAATAAAATGATTCAGTAGGAAATGGTCAGCTCCAGGAAACTAGTCCCCTTTTTCGATTTGCTATAATATGTATGGAAAAACATCAGTCAATATCTGACAATTCCAGTTCTACTTTTTGCTGCGAATACATTATCCCACAATTGAAATTTGCACCTTTTTCCAATCGCTCTATTTGCACCTTTTTCCAATCGCTCGATTAGTCTGATCAATAAATGAAGATGAACGTCGCTCTATAGTTTCTCTTGTACAAGTCAGGTCTTCCAATGGCATGGGCATTGCATTCTGGTGCTGCTGCAATTAATGAATCAACATACTAGTCTGCCACTTCAAACAATACCTCAAAAATGGCTTAAATCATTATTAGAATATAATTTTCAAATAACGGTTTTCAAGATAATGAAATGTTGCATTTTCTAGATCATCTTTGCTGCTCTCTTCGCCCTCGCGGCCGCCCGCCCCGACTCCCGCTACGCCGCTCCCGCGGCTAGCAGGGATGACTCCGATGAGGTCGCCATCCTCCGTGACGACCGCGTGTACCCCAGCGCCGCCGGCGAGTACAGCCTCGACTTCGAAACTGCTGATGGCACCAAGATCTCCGAGTCCGGCTACGGCTCAGGCCCCGATGGCGCCGTCGAGACCCAGGGAACCGTGAGCTTCACCCACCCCGACGGTGAGGACTTCGAGCTGAAATACGTTGCCAACGCCGAGGGAGGATACCAGCCCGAATCCGATGCCCTGCCCGTGGCCCCTGAATTCCCCCACGAGATCCCCCAGTTCGTCCTCGACCAGATCGCCAAGGCTGCCGAGGAAGACCGCAACCGCGACGACAGCGATGAGCGCTCTTACCAATAAATATTTCACGAAAGTCAACCATGTACTCCAACTTTTCGATGTTTCCCATGTAAAATTGTACAAATGTAATTTATTGTAGGCTGTCCCTGTATTTATTAAATTTCAGATGAATGAATGGTTCTGTTTTGCATATCCTATAAGTTATCAGTGCTTACGACGATATTTTAATGTTGCAAATGCTTGGGTCTTCCATTCTTTAGTGAATTGTTTTCGGATCACTGATCGACGTGATAAAGGAATGGATTTATCTTATCTTTTCCTTGGTTTAAGAGCATGTAATATACATATTTTTTTCAAATGCACCAGCACATTTGAAGAACGAGTAGCCTCTTCATAAGATGAATTTGAAAGATTAATATTAAAAATTTAAATCTTAATCACCACCAAATGCAGTGAAGTGATAAATGAATTTCAGTACTGGCAGAAAGTTTCCGAAAATTGCATTGCTTTATTTGTTTTGAAATTAGAGACCTTTCGGTGACTTTTACTAGAGATTATCGCATAAGGTGCCAATTCATGAAGGCAGTTGCCTACAAGCATTTATTCGCATCTTTCTCGAGAGGTCAGTTGTGTGTGAGATCCATGTCTCACACACCATATCTCATCCATATCTAGCATTGCTAGCTATCTGGGATTATTATTATTAATCTATGAAACATTTATCGTGGCGTCTGGTTCAAACGAACTTCGAGGGCACGTCAAACATTAGATTAACAGTCAGCGAAAAATAAATAGACACAAGAAAGGATGGGAACGGATAAAATGACCAAACACTAGATTCATATAGGCTCTACGAAATAGTTCCGTCTTTAGGCGTCGACGAAACACCTGCAACGAAAGGATTGCCTTCTCTGACCTGGGATAGCCAGCATTGCAATACCGGCGCAGGCGTCAAGTAGTCTGTTAACATACCCACATCTGTGTTTATTTACATCTAGCATGGCTCTAGGTATGCAAGGAGCACACTTGCAAACCTGAGCACAACTTTACTTTTAGTTTGAGTTATTGAACTGTCTTGTAACTTTACAATTAATCAAAATTTCTTATAATACAAATACATAAGGATAATATATAATAATACATATAATAATATGTAATATAATATATACATATACTATAATATAATACATAAGGATCTTCAACAAAAGGTCCTTTAATGTAGTTGACAAGAACTATTCCATATTAGGCTTACACTATGGCTTCAATCTGATTATATGTTCTTCTCAACGTGCACAATAATTCAGTCAATACTAATCTCATAATTATTGTTAAGCACCAGTTGCCGTTCATTTTGCTTTGATGGTTTGCAAATAAAAAATGAACGACAGAACTTGAGATGAGTTTTCATCAGTTTTCGGATTTTTAGCATCTAACATACATTAACACACTTCTTATTTTCTGTTTCCCGACTTTACAATTTGATCGACTTTGAATTTCAGTGCAGTTGGCGAATCAAATAATGTGCCAGGCAAAGACGAACAGAACTATTTTTATCATGCTGAATGAAGAAGCTCGTGCATAGATTAGCATCGGTCAACTGTGCGTTTTCAAACTTGCGGGCGGGAAGAGATGAGCGGTCAACGTAGATATCCAGTCCATCGTCTACGTTCATTATAGCAGTCTCGGTTATTTAATTAAAAGAGGTTTTATTATATACTTAGAATGGATGGTTACGAGAAGGTGAATATTGTAGTCACGGCAATGAACTCGGGTAAGTGCTCTCGACATTTGCCCGCTTAATGAAAGGGAACATTTTCCATAACGAAAAAGAGTCACAGCAAATTCAACAGATAGCGGCAGAGAGCCATGCTAAGCAAAGGCAATCTCAGGTTTCTAACTTGCTGCGTTATTATCGCTAATGTTTAGGCATCAACATGATTAATTTTTAAACATTAGCTCCCATGAATACGGCGAGTGTGTAATGTAATATTATTGAACTATACTGACCGTAACATGAGAGAGATATAGTATGGGATAATGTTGCGCTGTGTGATATAGTTTATTTCCTTGGCGCGTTGACGGCCTCGATATGTTTGAGTCGCCCACCAGAAAGATTGAGGACTCATCTCAGACTCAGAGGTGTGTCTTTATGCTGATGTTGACTGGTTAGTTGATGTATATGGATCAGAAAACCTCAATGAGGTATTTTCTGAATCTGCAGTATATCCGACTATGCCCAATCAAAGAGTTCAACGACGATCTTTGTTTCCCAGTCGCAAGCAATAGTAAGGCAATAATAAAAATATGAAAGGAACATATTTAATTATGACCTGATAGCTGAGTCATAGTAATAATAATAAAATTAGGCAAAATAATAATATATCAAATATCTTCCCTCCTGCACTCCATTACAACTGTTTTTCATCTCTATTAACACGAACGTTCTAAACCCTCTAGCCTCTGATCTAATATCGCTCCAACTTAACCTTGTTTCCCTCTTCTCCTTCAACATTTACGAATGTGTGACGCGTGGCAGCTAGCCGATGTATAGGACTGACTAATGTCTCTTTCATGGTCACCATGCCTCAAGTCCAATTCTAATATTTTAAACCGTCTAAGATTCTCTTGTCGTCTACAAAAAACTCCGCGGCAGTGTTTTGATGCCAGCTCTGTCAGGTGCGGACACGATTCAGGCCGATTTGTACAACAGCTGTGTTCGTCGTGTTGAGTGTTCGTCGGATGTTCACAATTAAATAACCTGATTGAAAAGTCGATGAAGAATTGTTGCGTAAATGATGTGTAAAACTTTCATTGATTTAAATGTAGCTTCCAGCCTGTTATCTACTATTATTCTGTTGTATCAAAAGTTGAACTTTTTATTAAATAGGATTCGCTTCCGTCTGCCGTCCGGGCCGTCCCATCGTCTCACTTTCACCGTTTTTTTTTTTCTTCTAAGTTTTTGATGAATTTTTTAATTTGAACTTTACTGTAAAGTTTTATTAATAATTTGTTTAAAATACTGATTTTTTGAGGAAATTTTTATACATGTGTAATTCTTGTTTTTTTTACAGGTAATAGAATTAGGAAAATTTGAAAGCTACAACTTCTACGTAGTACTAGTACGTCCTACCTACAGGCTACAAGTGATTGGGTCTGGGTGTAGTATTTCACAAATTCACAATTCATTTTTTTTAAGTATACTCCTTAGAAGTGTTGAGTTTGCCATTTATTATTGAAATGGCAAGCCCTAGAACAAGACGAGTTCTGGCAGACTTGAAACCAAAAGATGAGAATAGTGTAAGTATTTGTATTATTGTAAATTTGAAGAAATGTAGTTTATTCATAGAAAGAATGTGGACGTAGCTGTATACTCTTTCTTATTTAAATAGTTCCATGTTTTCATAACGTGGGGCAGATACGCGAAACTCGCTCATTTGTACTGTAAAAAGCATTTACCCAGCGATGTGCTCTTCCATTTTTAAATAATTTCATGTTTAAAAAACCGTTGGGTAGCCATGAGAAACTATCAATCAAATGTACACAGCATATACGTAGTGAAGTACTCTTCCATTTTTAAATAGTTTCATGTTTTTATAACATAAGTCAGCCATTAGAAAGTATTGCTCATTCACACGAAGCATGCGCTCACAGCGATGAACTCTTCCATTCTCGGTAGTATCACGTGGATAAAACGTGCCTCCTAAAATATAGAACAATCGTGTTCTGTGCTCGGACATTCATGTTAATTTGCCATTCATGCAAGACTCCACATTGTTAAAATTAAACGATGCGAAAGATGAATGCATTCACTAACAGGTAACAACGCATAGGACCAACATTATAAAATAACAAGCAGAAAGAAAGATTTTTGTCTTTGCTTAACTGTTCTTTGTTGATTTACGATGAAATAAGTTATTATTTGTCGAAAAGAAGGTATGATTCAAGTATAAATAATGAAAATCTCTTAATTAAATCAAATTAAAAATTTTTGGCGCATTTTTTTCTATTATGTCAACCCCTGCTTGCTAGCATTCTGTTGATGACGCCAATAGCCCACACTGTAAGAATATAAACAGTTAAATATTCAATAACTGTAGAATTAACAGTTATGGGCTGTTTAGTTAGTAATCTACGCAGTCACATAATAATGAAACTTGATCACTGAATTAAAGGATTTTTAATTAGCTTCAATTCATTATTTAGCGTGCATGATTGCACCAATAATTGTAACTTATTATCAGCAATGTTGGCTCATAAAATTCGTTAATTTTTCACTGGCTCTTTATTGGCCTGCGATATGTCTTATAAATTCAAACGCGAGATCAACAGACGAACATCAATTATATTCATGCTAATCAATTAACGATTGAGTATCCAAAACGAATCGATATGGTGCCAAAATATACAAATTATTCATGAATCAATGCATAAAAATCTTCAAATGAGTTCTTAACATGAATTAATAACAGCTGTCAACATTCAGTACGATTTATCAGGTTAAATCAAATACCTTAGTTAATAGAGTCACAAAAGCCAAAGCAGAAGTACAGCTTGGCCTTCACCCTCGTCTGTTCTGACGACTGCCCGACGACTTCGTCTGGCGCCCGGCATCCTCTGCCCTACTTTCCCTTTCGAAAATCTGTTTATTCTAATAACTTTTAACATTTAAAATTTAGTTTTTCTCTTCTACTGTCCTCGTTCAAAAATCTACACCCAAAGACCTACTTGCATTTCACTCGCTCTGGCCAACTTGTCTCGGCTAAAATGTACTTTTTCACGCCTATTTTCGTCATTTAAAAATCTACTCCCAATTTCCTGCATTCAAGTTTAAAAATCTATTCAAATTAGCCAACTTTATCCATCCAGGATACTCGTATTTTCGCTTGCTTTTCCCATCCAAAATTCAACCCCACTTGAATGAAGTGGAAAACTCGAAAAAAATATAATTCAGTGTTCCATGTCGGAAAGTGTCGGTCAACGATGCCCAGTAATCTCCAATACCTGAATAAATAATGTGGAGCAATATTGCTGATATCCACTAAAGTACTTCAAAGATGTCGGGCATTAATATCCAGTTCATACTTTTAATTAAAAACTGGCTGGTTAGCCCTAGCATTGCATTGGCTCGACATCCCAGCAATTTTAGAATCCATTTATCCCAAATCCTGTCATTGCTGTTAGTCTGAATCCCGTCATGCATTCCCGTTATTCCGAATCCCGTTTATAATAATAATGCTCATGTACGCTCATGCTGAAAGAAAACCGGTTCAAACTCGTGTTTTTTTACAAAGTACATACGATTCCCGTTTGATTCTCAGTTCAAAATACGATTAAAGCAATTTTTAGTCCTTACAATTAAATTATATACCGATGCAGGTTATGCATACCTATCGGTCTTGGTCCCAGGCATTCGGCGCGATAACGCAAGCAACAATATTCAACATAATTTCGGATCTCTTGTCTCAAGGAACGAGATGATATCTTTATCGCGAATGTACACTATGTCGCTTCATGTATTTCCGACGAGCGCGTGTATTTTGTTTCATCGCACTTGTATAATTAGTTTTCTTATAGAAAGCCAAACTGGGGGCAAGAAATTTGTACTTTACCAGGAATAGATATCACGGATTCTCTTGTAGCTTTTTTAAACATATATTGGAATTGCAAATTTTTAAAACATATTGGAATTGCACACCAACTGTTAAACACATCAAAATTGGCAGAAACTTATTTCAGAAGGTAGTAAATTGTCTTCGACTGCGTTAATTACATTGGATGTAATCGCTTATGATAATGATTTGCATGGTAATTACCTAGTCTAAGTGAAGGATCTACTGCTATCACGCTTCAGATCTTTGTGTTTTAGATGAACAAGAATAAAGTTGTTTAGTTTCTTGTTTTTCAATATACATAAGAGCAATAATTTCTGTATAGAAACTCTGGGTTGACTGCGAAGAAAAAATACTTTACCTACTATTAATAGTGTAATTTTAACAATATTTACTCTAAAATTAGTTCACCTAGCTCAAGTAAGACATTACCTACCATTAAAAAAAATAGTATATGAGGTATAACGTCCGAAAAAAAAACACTTCTTTTAAAAATAATGTGAGAGAACCAAGACCGATTGCTCCCGAAACAGCTTCTTATGGTCCTATTTCCAAAATATTTATTACGCGAAAAATATGAATAATATATAAGATTATGAATAGTTATTATGAATTATGAATAGTTATATAAACTGGTACCGGTATTAAATTTAATTGTAGAAAAAGTTTCCCGTTCCAAGGTGATAAATAATTTAGCAATATAAAAATATTTTGCAAGGAGTAATCGAGCGTCAGCGAGTGCAAGACACTTAATTGACTTGAGAAAAAGCTTCATGGAGTCCAGACAGAAAATGTTATTTTCTGGAGTCACTATTTCAGAAAGTCGTTCTATTGTAGCACGACGCGTCTTGGTTGTGAAGTGATTTTAATTAAACATGGTGGCCTCCCATTTCCTAACTGTCACTAGTTTCAAGTTTTTTTTTTGATTCCACATAATATCAGTATTGCAATGCATGCTAATTTGTTTGCTTCCTCAATCCAAAGTAAATATGTTTCCAAAAATTTACAATGTTCTCAAATTATATTCGCCAATATAAACGTAGATGCACGAATTGTATTGTAAATAGTTTCAATAATAAATTTTATTATAAATTAAACCACTAACGAAAAAAACTTTAAAAAAATGCTTGTCTGCAATTAATAACTTATTCTAATCAATTTATTTATTCATCAGTCGCGGTTTTCCATTGACAAAATTTTTCTATGTCGAATCGTTTTTGAGTTTTGGGGGTTTTTGTTAAAAAAAGGAAAAATGGTCAAAGTTACCCCGCCGGTCAAAGTTACCCCATTTTACGGTACTCTTTAAAAACTTGCAATTTATTAATTTAATTTATACATCAGATTGGAGGGAATAAGAAAGCTCTGGACTTTCTGATGGCTCAGAGTGACTACGACCACTCATCTCCACTGCAGCAGAAGTACAACACCAGAGCTGCTGCTCTCTATAAGGATAAGGTATTGTGACTTGAAGGAAGGATAATAAGTTTCATTTAATAAGTCTAATTACTTCCCCATAAAGAAAAAGTCTCAATAATAAAATCTTTTAAGAAAGTAAGAGTATTTTGGCAAGGAAAAGGTTTACAAGTGTAGATTTAGAGCTGATTTGTATACTATGTACATGGTATTGATGTTATTGAATGTGGATATGACTCTCAAGTACCGCATACAGCTCACAAGCTCTCAGCTGTACTGAGAGCCGTATCCGCTTTCTTCCTACCAATGAACTTTACCTTCTAAATTTGTTATCTGCCTGAGTCTTAAGAGCTTTATTCACATTCTTTTGAACTGCAAAATTTAGCTAATGGGAAATATGTTTTTCTCACAGCTTAATTGCCTGTCCCAAGGCAAACCCTGGAGTGTTGAGACAAGCTCTGTGGGCAAAATATCCCTCAATAGCTCCACAAGCAGAAGTTCCTCAGCATCTGGTGTTAGTAAAAGCAAGTCTACCCCATCATTTAATAATGAAGGCAAGTTGACAAGTTTTGATCCAACTATAATAAATATTATGCTAAAATACTATGAAGGTTATAAATTAGGTAGTATCTATAGATTTTTGATGTATTGGAAAGTTTGTAAATATAGACCTAAATGAAAAGATTGATGGAATGAAAAATGAATATATGTAATATATACCGGTACCAATGATTTTCTCTTCATTATACTACGTTTGTTGCATTCTTTGACGTTTTATAACTGCATGTGTTTTGTTCCTGAGTCACCAAATCATACTAGCTGCTTAGTTGTTATGTACCGGTATGGTGCCTAGTTTTATAAAACTTTTTATGGGAGTTTTAAATTCTTTATTTTACCTGCTGTCACCTCACTAATACCGTTCTAGTTGAATTTTCATAGTAAACCATGATTTATCCACAGCTTTTCTATAATTTTTATCTCTATTCATTTCCTTTTCCAGTAATCAAAGTTTCTACCTTGCCTTTTCTTCATCATCTCGAGGCTTAATTTATTTTAATAAAGAATCTTATAATTTATTTACTTATATATATTATTACAGAGTTATTCTAAATGATGGACCCAAAATAAGAAATTCATATTTATAAAAGTATAAATTCAAAGGGAAAGATTCAAAGTTTTTTTTATGGATTAGTATAGGTAATGTTCAATATGTACCCTTGTGCTGTCCGTGATGTAAACAATATTTCCCTTATTAATTATTAATATATTCATGAAATATTGATTTATTGTGACAAAGTCAATATTGTATTTGACTATACTGGTACCCTATATTGCAGGTACCACCTCTAATGGCAGCAGCTATGGCAGTGGCTATGGTAGCAGCTACCAGTCAGGATACCAGAACTCCTACCAGTCAGGATACCAAACAGGCTACCAAGATCCAGCCATCAAGAACCAAACAGAAGCTTTCTTTGAGAGAGTCCAGAATGAAAATCTCAGCAGACCCGAGTAAGATTCTGAACAGCGTCTGTGAAAATTATACTTGCGCATAATTTATACAAATTTATTGTATGACTTTTTTGCATGAAGTCACAGAGTAAAGTGTTTTAGTGTATTTTTGTTTGTCAATATGGGTAGCATTGGGTTCTGTCATCTTTATAATGTGCTCACTGATTCATGGGTGTATTTTTTATTGCTGGAAACTTTTTTTTTCTATAATTTGTGTAGCTACTCCTTCCGCTCATTGCCCTCACTCATCACCCTCACTCATCACAATCAAAACCCTCACTACCCTCACTCATCACAATCAAAACCCTCACTCATCACCCTCACTACCCTCACTCATCACCCTCACTACCCTTACTCATCACCCTCACTACCTCCACACACCACACCCCAGGCATCACCCCTCATAATGACCCTCACCTCACACAGCCACGTGCCGCCCTCACAAGGCGGGCGCTACAGCGGCTTCGGCAACACCAACTACCAGCCGCCACCCAAGAGCGCCTCCGTCGACATGATGGACACGGCCGTGTCCTCCCTTGCTCAGGTACATACTTGTTGCTGTATTATACCAGTCACTGTATTGTACCAGTCATTATTATACCAACCACTGTACTATACCAAAGCAGCTCACCAACACTATTGTCACGCCACATTTCACCACATCACAGTTCAGGTTTCTACCGAGCTTAAGTGACCGGTTATCATGGTTAATATTTTTGTGTGAACCACCAAAAGGCTCGTCATTGTGCAAATAATTATTATTATTTATATTGCTTATTAGCTTGTAATTGTATAAATAATTATTATAATTTATAATGCTTACTAGCTTGTAATTGTGTAAATATTTATTATTATTAGCTTTTAATCATATAATATTTACAGGGCTGGTCGCTGTTAAGCCTGGGGGCAACAAAGGTAGCGGCCAAGGCGGTGGAGTACAGCGCCATAGCTGCAGACAAGGCCACCGTCTATGGACAAGTTATCGGTGATAAGGTCAGATGATTAATGGTATTAATCATGAGACTTGCTCCTAGCAACTCTTTGGTAATAACTGTCTCTAATAGTTATTTTCGTAGTGGAAACTTTCTACTTCTCAGAAGACTATAAGATACGAGGTAAGATCATGTGCTGCTTGATTGTTAGTGGTTAATTGTATTCGTTTAAATAATTTTAGCTTCAATGTGGGAAATTTTACCTTGCACTTTAACATATTCTTAATATTTAAAATTTTATAAAAAAGAATATTACAGAAACAGCATTTATATTAGAAAGTCTCTAGGTATTCATCCACTATGTATTATTATAATTTTTTTTTGCTTATACGATACCCCTGATTCTACATATACCAATTCTACAGTTGATTGTAGGTACACAATTCAACAGTTTTATACAAACGTTGTTCTACAGTTCTTGTGGTAAGGAGTTACTTACTCACTTATTCTACTTCATTTAAATTTGCTATAAATGTTTTTATCGCTTATTGTAATTATCGTAAATGCTTGCAGTGACTCCTAAAGTTACTTTAAAAGCTTTAGAAACTTTAGAAAACCTAGAAAACTTTAGACTTTTGTTTTGCTTGATCATTTTTATCCTCAAAAAGATTTTCAAATTAACGTGTTAGCGTTTGTGCACATTATTTTATATTTCTATGTGGTGCATTTTTGATCTGTATTATGGTTGTTGACTGATTCTAAATTATTGATTACTTGCTCTATAAACGACATCTGTCAGTACCTACTGTTTGTTGTCATTTCAGTACCATTATATTGTAGCATAAACTTAATTAGTCTCAAATTAAACATTGGCCATTGTAATGACGTATTCACGTAATTTTGAATTATTTATACTTATTTTTTAATTTTTGGACGTCTTTGGTAGTCAGTAATTATGTTGTCCAATATCCTGTTGGCAAGTTTGTGTTAGTATATTATTTGTGGGCTGCAGCATGTGTTATTATCTATATAATTTTATATCTATCTGTATAATTTTGTATTATTTGACCTTCGCACGGCCCGTTACCCTCGTTAGGTGCGCGAGGGTAAACTGCTCGACGAGATATCCGATCAGGCGTCAGCATTCGGCAGCAAGGTGGGAGTAACTTAACAATTTATTATATTCTTGTCTTCTCAGAAACATGTATGGTCAGAGCTGGGCAGCGCTACTTTGAAATGTAGCGGCCGCTATCGCTACATGCTCTAAATGTTGCGGGCGCTACCGCTACCACTACAATTGCTTAAATTTAGCGCCGCTACCGCTACTGAAAATGTAGCGGCCGCTACATGTAGCGCGCTACTGCCCACCTCTGCAGTATGAGTCATATTGTTCTAATAGTGACACACTTCCTGTAGCACTGATATGTTTTTTCCCAGTAAAAGCTGGGTTAGGATAACCCACACAAGGACGGGAAGTGCTTCGCTGTTTGGACATAGTCTCGTAATTTTTTGAGTGCAAACTTATAAGTTGGTAAAACTATTCTGAAGTGAACTTATCAAACTTCATTATTGTTTGCTAAACTCGTATAAACTCTTGCTGGATTTAATGCTTCTCAAGAATGAAAAGAGAGCAAACCTGATTTTTTTAATGCACTTATATGCAATAATTGATCATTGTTTCAATGGTTGACGCTAATAATAAATAAATTTGAAATAAATTCAGCATATTAAACTTGAAGAATTTAAATTCTGAAAGTGGCGGTTTCAAATTCGTATTGTTTTTGTTGTGACATAGCAAGGCAGTCAGAAGTAATAAATGAAATGCCGAATTAAATTATGAAATTAAATTGAATTACCTGTTATCCAGTTAACATAATGTGTATCAGTAACATAGGGTATCATATACCTTTTATCCATTTAACGTAATAAATGGTATATGTGACATAACATATACCGTACCTGTTATACAGTTAACATAACATATACCGGTAACATATATACCGTTATCCAGTTAACATAATATATGGTATCGGTAACATAACATATACCTGTTATCCAGGTAACGTAACATATACCTGTTATCTAGTTTACATAATATATAGTATCGGTAATGTAACATATAGCTGTTATCCAGGTAACATAACATATACCTGTTATCTTACTACCTGTTAACCAAGTATATGTTAAGTTACCATATAGCATACATTTATCTACATAACATATATCTGTTTACCAGGTATATACGTATATCATGTATTTATCTAACGCCCCTGTTTGTCACAGGTGACGAAGGCGGCGCAGGCGATATCGTCAGGCCAGTCCCTGAGCTCCGTACTGCTGCAGCCTCAGCACCAGCGTCTTGATGGCATCGATAGTGCCGGTGATCTATCAACTTTTACGGGGAGATCATCTATTAATTATTTATGAATATATCATCTATTATATATGAAGATGTCATCTATTATATATGGAGATATCGTCTCTTATATATCATCTATTATATATGAAGATGTCGTCTATTATCTGTGAAGATATCATCACTTACGTATGAAGATATCTCTTATATATGAAGACATCATCTTCCATTTATAAATATTTCGCCTATTATATATAAGTATATTGTTTATTATATACGAATATATCGTCTTTCATATTTGAATATAGTTCAGTGATATGACATACTAGTAGTGCTATGATGAAACTGTTATACGTATCTAAATATATCTTCTATTATATATGATATCATCTCTTATATATGAAGACATCATCTTTCATTTATAAATATATTACCTATTATATATAAATATATAATTTATTATATACGGATATATCGTCTCTTATATATGAATATAGTTCAGTGATAGCATATAGTAGCAACACGATGATACTGTATTGTTCCGATAGTACCTATGAGTAATAGTAATGTTAGTGAGGACAATTTTGGTGAATGCATATGACGACTTGTATGTAAGATGTCTTATACAGACCTTCACACAGCTGTATGTTGTGTCAGTTGTCCACACTGATGTCTGTTGTGTTCAGTGGTCCACACAGATGTTGTATATTGGACGAGTGCTGTACACAGATGTTGTATTTTATACTGTATTCAAAATGAATCTTCAAGGACACTTCTCTCAATCCACCTACACAAACAATAATAAATATTGTACAGGTCAGAAAGTTGTTTGTTTTAGTAGTACTAGGTAAAACTTTTGAAATCTCACAAAAGTGGTATTGAATTCGTATTATGATACTGCATTTATATATTATATATTCATATTATGTCATTGACTATGGGTCGGAATTTCCCAAACTAGACAGCACATTACTTCATGATGTAAATTATATATTATCGGTGGTAATAGTGTGTGTTATATTTAACCAAATCTCAACAACGGCGTTAGAAAAGTGAAAGAAATAACTTATGGCGTGTTTAATTGGTTAAAAAATGTAGGAAAGTTTTGCCCTCAGTGATTTAAGTCATCGCAGTTTTAAAATTCGTGGGTGTTAATGCAGCGGCGAAAATAGTATAATATTTGATTCATCCCGATACGGTATAGGAATGACGAAATAGTTTTTTAAAATGTAACCAAATATTATTCATCTCATATTGTAAACAATGCAAATAGAAAAATTATGTATCAACCAGACGTCATTGATGAGACACGATCACTCAACTCGCCGTTTGTCTATCAAAACTGGTCAGAAATGCGACTTGTAGCTTAAGATTACCACATAGATAATAAAAAGCTGTAAAAACCTATTTAGAAAGCTCTGGGTAGATTCTGTTCATATAATAGATCATTTCAATTGAAGGCCGTCGACTTAAGTGCAGGCAGAGATACAAGATTTTGTTCTTGTAGATTTGTAATGATAGTTACTTTACTTGTAGATTTGTCAATAATGATTTATAGATAATGTAGATTTGTAGATAATGTAGATTTGTAGATAATGTAGATTTGTAGACAATATAGATTTTTAGATAATGTAGATTTGTAGACAATATAGATTTTTAGATAATGTAGATTTGTAGACAATATAGATTTTTAGATAATGTAGATTTGTAGATAATGTAGATTTTTAGACAATGTAGATTTTTAGACAATGTAGATTTGTAGATAATGTAGACTTGTAGATAATGTATATTTGTAGATAATGTATATTTGTAGATAATGTAGATTTGTAGATAATGAAATCCTGTATATTTTAATTGAAGGCCGGCGACTTGAGTAACTTGGCGACTCAAGTGCAGGCAGTGATCGCAGGTTTTGTCCCGCAGGACCGAGTGAAGGCAGCCAGTTCAAGAGCGGCCCTGAGCGAGCAGGTCTCCTGAACAACGCGCGGTCTGAGAGCTCTGGCTACCAAAAACTCCAGCAAGGGTATAGTGATAACCTTTAATTTATATAGGTATATATTAATTAGTTATTATATATGTAGATACAAGGGTATAGTGATAACCTTTAATTTATATAGGTATATATTAATTAGTTATTATATATGTAGATACAAGGGTATAGTGATAACCTTTAATTTATATAGGTATATATTAATTAGTTATTATATATGTAGATACAAGGGTATAGTGATAACCTTTAATTTATATAGGTATATATTAATTAGTTATTATATATGTAGATACAAGGGTATAGTGATAACCTTTAATTTATATAGGTATATATTAATTAGTTATTATATATGTAGATACAAGGGTATAGTGATAACCTTTAATTTATATAGGTATATATTAATTAGTTATTATATATGTAGATACAAGGGTATAGTGATAACCTTTAATTTATATAGGTATATATTAATTAGTTATTATATATGTAGATACAAGGGTATAGTGATAACCTTTAATTTATATAGGTATATATTAATTAGTTATTATATATGTAGATACAAGGGTATAGTGATAACCTTTAATTTATATAGGTATATATTAATTAGTTATTATATATGTAGATACAAGGGTATAGTGATAACCTTTAATTTATATAGGTATATATTAATTAGTTATTATATATGTAGATACAAGGGTATAGTGATAACCTTTAATTTATATAGGTATATATTAATTAGTTATTATATATGTAGATACAAGGGTATAGTGATAACCTTTAATTTATATAGGTATATATTAATTAGTTATTANCACATGTTGCATTGTTTTTTGTTGCATTGAGATTTAATTTCTTTTGATAGTATTTTTGAATACTATGCGTCTCTATACATAATTTAAATCACTTTTCCTGTTAAGTTTGTGTACTTACATACATTAAAATACGATTTTTCAAGTGTACGAATATTTATTTCCCCCCACTGTATGTAGATTCCAGCTAGGGTATAATGTTAGCCTTTAGTTTAAATCTATATATGGTAAATATATAGCTACAGATTTTCGTTATTATAATGTAGATTCCAGCAAGTGTATCATGACAATCTTTGTTATTTCACAGATTTTTTCTATTATATTTGTAAATAATTTCGATCTGATGGCTCTGGCCATAAGAAACTGCGGCTCAAGTGCGATAATTGCCTTCGTATTTTTACAATAGATTTACAAATTTGAAATTATTTTTCACCTATAATTTTTTACGGAGTTATAAAGAATACATTTGATATTATATGTACGTATGACTTGGTAAATTAGGTAGTATGTATGTTAAGTAAATTAACTTAAAGTTATAGTGCAAATATAATGTTTAGAGACCTGACCTAATATTTTGGATATGATGGGTTGCAAATATGAATATTCTATTTCAGTGAATCTAATATTTATGGCGACTTATACATGGCGCATTTGCTTTTGTTTGACTGCAATCTGAATTGAATTAATGATTATAAATTTGTAGCCACAATTTATTATAAATTTATTATTGTCAATTTCTTTGCTTAAAAGTACAGATGACGAGGTTTTTTCACGGATGGTTCACTATGCTATCTTTTCTATTATTAATGTTAGTACCGGTATCTGTTTTTGTGAATTATGTAATTTTCAATTTATTTACCTACCGGTATATTCATTTTTTATTTATTACAATGTTTAACTAGGATATCCGAGTGCTAAATATAATTTTTACAAGAAATCTTTCACTAACCGTAGAATAAGGGTTTTTCGGGGGTTTAAAGCCAAACCCATGGTTTGAAAACCATAGAATAAAGGTTTTTGGTACCGTATCATCCTCTCATCATTCACACATGTAAACTGCATGAAATTAATGAAGTGAATTGTTACAGACGCAATGACAGCTGGGCTGATGATGGCTGGAACTCTTGGACTAGCAGCGATAAAAACAACAGCAGTGATAAAAGCAGCGATAAGAACAGCAACGATGTCGGCAAGACGTTTGCTGGCTTTGACACTCCGTCCGTCAATAACAATGACAACAAAACCGAAGACAGAAAGGTGTCCAGTAAACCTAAGGTAACTTCATTTATTTACATGAAAAACTGTCGAATTTCTGCCAGTTATTGTTACGGTGTTTACAATGACCAAACGCAGTTTGCTGTTCTATACCAAAAGTTAAACCTCGTGTTTTTATTTATAATATTTTTCAAACGCTTTTCCAATCACTTTCTGTCAAAATGATGAACTTGTGTAGTAAAATATTTATTTCAGTGGGATAGAATTTGTAAAAAAAACATGCTGATATTAATTATTTTCGCTTGTTTTATGCTGATAGCCATTATTTTTGCCTGTTTTTCTTGAATCGTTCAAATGATGTTGCCAATCTTCAAACAAATGAGCGTTTGCCATGTATTATACTGAAGTAAATGCACAGTGTACAGGTTTCACTATCTCCGGACGACACGTTTAAATAGTTCTTATTGAGTCAGCGTGAAGGTGCGAATGAAAACATTTACCTATGTAATGGTACCTTATGTAAGCCTGTACAGACTAACCCTTATCTCTGTCTGTACAGACTAACCCTTATCTCTGNCAGTTATTGTTACGGTATTTTCTATGACAAAATATAGTTTGTTATTCTATATAGAAAGTTAAGCCTCAGGTTTTTATTTATATTTTTTAGATTGTAAATGCATTTCTAATCATTTTCTGTCAAAAAGATGAACTTGTGTAGTAAAATTTTTATTTTAGTGGTATAGAACTGGTAAAAAAACATGCTGATAGGCATTATCACTATTTCCGGACAACACGTTTAAATAGTTGCATGTGTCTGACTAACCCTTATTTCTGTCTGTACTGACTAACCCTTATCTCTGTCTGTACTGACTAACCCTTATATCTGCCTGTACAGACTAACCCTTATCTCTGCCTGTACAGACTAACCCTTATCTCTGTCTGTACAGACTAACCCTTATCTCTGTCTGTACAGACTAACCCTTATCTCTG